CACGCTGTCCATCAAAAGAGGACTGGATTAAAAAAATGTGGTACAAATACACAATGGAATACTATGCAGCCATAAAAAAGAACAAAATCATGAATTTTGCAGCAACCTGGATGGAGCTAGAGTCTATAATACTAAGTGATCTCTCACAGAAACAAAGATCTGAGTATCGCATATTCTCACTCATATAGTGGACCTTGATCATCCAATGCACTACTATAAGAAAATGACTGACAGTGTTGGGGAACTATTGCGGGGGGATGGGACTAATGGTAGTAAACATCTGTCTGGAGACGGGGAGACACCTGTTACCAACAAGGGGGCCTGAATGAAGCATATTTGTATACCTAACCCTTAACTGTACCCCACAATATCAAAATAAAAAATATGGATTAATAAAAAAAAAAGAAAGAAATAATTTACACAGAGTAGACAACTCCAAATTTACCAAGAGTGAGCATAAGGCAAAAAGTGTGGATTTGCTGATTAAGGAAAGAAACCAGTATGATTCTTCTGAGCTCATTTATGAGGTTACGGAGGAAGCAAGGGCATGAATAAATGGAAAAACATTTAAGAGCTTCAATGGGTAAGTGACATGACCAGATCTGTTTATTCAATTGTTGTTCTGGACGCCAGCAGCATTTCAGCTTCTGTTCATGGCACAGTAGCTTGGTCATACTAATTATCTCACAAATGAGAATTATAAAATCTGGTCCAAAAAAAAATTAAGCATATAAAGGCACCAGAGAACAACAGAATGTAGGCAGACGCTGGAGAGCAGACACAGAACCCACACTAATGAGAGCTACGAGTTTCTATCTGTTTACCTGAGGACATTTCCCAATTCATCTTTGGTACCACAGTCTATGAGGCTTGAAATGTCAGAGAACCATATTTACGGCTGACCGGGGTAGTAAGAAAGTTAAGAGAGAAATTAAAGGGAAAAAAACTACCAAGCAAGAGCCCCAAAATCTGCATACAGATTCTGCCCAGGAAAAGTAACATAATACCAAGAGACAAAGCTATCAACAGAACCAGACTCAGATACAAAAAAGACATTGACGCTATCTGACAGTGAATTTAAAATACTGTCAATTAATATGTTAAAGGCTTTTATGGAAAAGGTGAGAAGAATGCAAAATCAGACAAGCAATTTCAGCAGTGATGAAAACCATAAGAAACAATGAAATGGAAATACTAGCAATAAAAAAGCATAGTAACAGAAATGAAGAATGTCTTCAAAAAGCTTGTCAATATACCCGACAAAAGCAAGGAAAGAAACAACAAACTTAAAGACAGATCAAAAGAAATTACGCAAACTGAAACAAAAAGAGAATAAAACAGTTTTTTGTTTGTTTGCTGTTTTGTTTTGGTTTTTTTGAGTTGGAGTCTCACTCTGTTGCCCAGACTGGAGGGCAGTGGCCGCTCCCAGTCACCACAGCCTCGACCTGCTGGGCTCCAGCGATCCTTCCGCCTCAGCCTTCCAAGTAGGTGGAACTACAGGCGCGTGCTACCATGCCCGGCTAATTTTTTATTTATTGTAGAGATGAGGTCTCGCCAAGTTGCCCAGGCGGGTCTTGAACCCGTGGGCTCAGGCAATCCACTCACCTCAGCCTCCCAAAGGCGAGGGATCACAGGCTGCGCGGGATCACAGGCTGAGCCACCGAGCTGGGCTTAAAACAGTTTTTAAAAAAAGTATCCAAGAGCTGTAGATATGAGTAACAGTATAAAACAGTTACATCCTTATATTACATGTGAAGCAGTGTAATATCTGAAGGTAGACTTTGATCAAGTAAAGATGTTAACTGCAAACATGAGGGCAACCATAAGTTTTTTCAACAAGGCATAAACAAGTCAATAATGGAGATAAACGGTATCATAAAAATTTCACAATTAATCTAAAAGGAGAAAGAAAAAGAAAAAAGGAAGAAAAGAACAGATTGAACAAATACCAAATAACTAGCACATTGGCAGGTTTTAATTCAGTCAATTAAATAGATATAAACTCATCATTTTAAGACAAAAATTGTTAGATTGGTCAAAAAAGCAACAACCAACTATATGATGTTAAACTTACTAAAGAAGCTTACTTTAACCATACAGACATAGATGAGTAAAAAGTAAAAGGATGCAAAAAGATATACTATTTAAATACTAACCAAAAGAAAGAAGGAATTGTTCATAGCATTAATACTAGACAAAGAAGACTTCAGATCAGGAACAAAAAAGGATATTCTATAACGACAAAACATTATATAACGACAAACCGATAAAGGGTCAAATCTCCAAGAAGACCATCCATAACAATCCTAATATGTATGTATCTTACTACAAGTTCCATCTTTTTGTCTGAGGGTATTCCCCAATTCATCAGTGGCTTACCACAAATGAAAGCTATACAGCTTTAGGGACTTTTATAATACATGAAGCAAAACAATTAGTACTGAAAGAAGAAATAGACAAATCCATAATTGTAGTTGGAGATTTCAATATTCCTTTCTCAGTGATTACACAAAAAGTAGACACATAACCTGTAGGGTTATAGAAGACTTGAAGAATACTTATCAACCAACTTGACCTAACTGAAATTTATAGAATTCTGTATCTAAAAGAGCAGGATACCATACTCTTCAAGTACACATAAAACATTCAGCAAGACAAATCATATCCCTGGCCACAAAACAAATTTAAAAGAACAGAAATAATATAAATTAGGTTCTCAGACCATAATGAAATTAAATATCTGGAAATTTTGCATATATTTAGAATTATGCCACAAACATTTAAAAAACCATGGGTAAAATAGGAAATCACAAGAGAAATATAAAGCATATCGAATAGAATGAAAATAAAAATACAGCATATTAAAATTTGTGGACTACAACTGAAGCAGTGCTTAGAGAGACATTTATAGCAATCTCAAATAAATAATCTAAGCTTCCAACTTAAGAAACAAGAAAAAAATACACAAAAGGGCATTACTTTCTAGGGTAACAAATGTGTTCTACATATTGACGGGGATGTGTGCTACACCATTGCATGCATCTGTCAACATTCTACAGTTAAGATTTGTGCATTTTCAGGCCAGGCATGATGGCTCACACCTGTAATCCCAGCACTTTGGGAGGCAGAGGCGAGAGGATTGCCTGAGCTCAAGGGTTCGAGACCAGCCTGAGCAACATGGCAAGACCTCATCTCTACAATAAATCAAAAAATTGGCCAGCCGTGGTGGCACATGCCTATGGTTCCAACTACTTGGAAGGCTGAGGTGGAAGGATCGCCTGAACCAGCAGGTCGAGGCTCTAGGGGCCGTGAGCATGCTTCTGCACTCCAGCCTGGGCGAAAGAGTGAGACTCCAACTCAAAGAAAAAAAACCCCAAGATTTGTGCATTTCCTCAGCTACTTGGGAGGCTGAGGCAGAAGGATCACTTAAGTCTAAGAGCTTGAGGCCAGTCTGGGCAACAAAGCAAGTGTTGGGATTACAGGCATAAGCCACCACACCCAGCCCCATTTTTACCTTTCTGGACTAATAAAATTCTTCAGCATAGATGTAGAAAGACCAGAAATTGGTCTTAGAGTAGAAAAGGACAAAAGGGGAAAAAAATAATATGGCTTGACATAAGATGGTGGCAGGAAAAATAAAGAAAAGAAGATCCCACAGGACTGGCTAATTGACTGGATATAGATTATGAAGAAAAGGCGGTATCAAAAATGACCCCCAAGTTTCTGGCTTTAGCAAATGGGTGGTATGCAGTGCTTTTTAATTCAGATGGAGAACAGTTTTGAAGAAAAATGAGTTCATTTTTGGAGATGACAGGTTTCAGATGTCTGAGACATTCAAGTAGAGATACCAAATAAGTAGCTGAATATGTTAGTCTGGAGTTTAGAAGGACAATACGGACTAGTTGCTAGTCCAGATTTAGGATTATAGACATAAGAAAAGCCCATAGAATGATGCACACTATATAGTGTTATCATGTTTTTCCAATTACTGTCATTATCAGTAGGCATTATTTATTCTCATCATCATCTATTTAAGGAATATAAATATATTCTCACAATAACAGGTATGATTTATACAATACACATGTTTATCACCATTTTAAAGAAAAAGCAAACAAACAAACCTCCTCCCCAAAAAATAGGTTACAAATTTTCATTCAACTAAAAAATGTTGTGTCTGTTAATCCCAAAACAAGAGTTCCAAAATTGCTTTGACAGGTGGATTGGGCATTGGCATCGGTGCATAACTTCCCCAGTGGAGTACTTCAAAGGTGACCATGGTGATATTCAGCAATGAGGTATGTAGCACTTTTTCTAGGACGAGTTTGTGAACTTAACTGTCAGACCTCATAAATTTGAAAATACTAGTGAGGAGGGAAGAAGCAGGAGGAAGGGAGACACAGGAAGAAACTCTTACCGATATCTTGCCTTGTACTAGGCACTATTCTAAGTCCTTTATATATACTAAGTACTGACAATGACTTCATGAGGCAAATATTATTATTCTCCCTGTTTATTATACAGAAGAAACTAAGTTAAGCAACTCGTCCAAGATCACAAAGTTGATTAGTAGTATATCCAGGACTCCAAACCAATCCAGGCTGTCCAACTCTATAATAGGCACTCAGAACACAACTGCAAAATAAACCATGTCAACCCCAAAACTAAATAAATAATAACCTTCTTGTCTCATGACTAAAAAATTGTTAGATTTTGATTTTTCAATGATTTTCTAGGGATACTAAACTGACTTTTCCCCTACTTTAGCAAAAGTTTTCTGAAGAGTATATGAATTAAATTGAAATGAAACTTCACCTGAGATCTCACTCTTCTAAGAGCTCACACATTACAAGAATATCAGATACAACTGAGTAGGCTTACTAGCAGATTCAGAAAATTATGTTTGTTTTTGATCCTTGGTATGGTGAATACACTATGATTTTTTTAAATTTTGGTATAGTTATTTTTGTAAAAAAGAGTAGAATGACTATGAAACTCACGTGCACAGAATAACAAGAGAACAAGGGGATAATTCCTGTTGCTGAAGACAGCATTTTAGTACTCGATCATCATTGTTTTCATCACTCAATCCATCTGCAAATTTAGCAAAAGCAACCGTTAATACACTAGAAATCTGAGTGCCACCAGAATAATCTAGGCTCTATTTGCAAGTCAAAAGCATCCAAAAGTTTTTGGACAGTGAAATTACTTTGTATGATACTATGATTATACATTTGTCCAAACCCACAGAATGTACAACACCAAGACTAAACCCTAATATAAACTATGATTCTGGGTGAAGATGATGTGTCAATGAAGGTTCATCAATTTTAACAAATGTACCACTCTGATAGGGGACGCTGTGCATGTGTGGGGGCAGGGGGTATATGTTCAATTTTGTTCAATTTTGCTGTGAATATGAAACTACTCTAAACAATAAAACTTTTTAAATAAAAAAAAGACAGCAAAGCAATGTCTTGAAAACTCTGGATCTATAATTAATATAATATTTATTTGTAGATTTAATAAAGTGGTTAATTTACTACCAAAATGGACTAGGAAACAGCTGTTAATAAATTCAAAAGAAAGAAATGTAAGTTAAACATCAGACTAGAAACCAAAAACTACAAATTCTAATATCAATTCAGTCACTTACAGATTATAAGTAAATTACATAATTATATCATGCTTAAAACAGTTCTCAGCTTAAGAGGTCTGTGAACTAATTGAGCAACTGTTCTATTCAAAACAGAACCAATTTCTTATGACTTGTTTTTCTTAATCTCTAAACCAACATAATTAGAGATACACAGGAGAAGAAAATATGTGCCCTAAACAGATAACACAATTTCTAACAAATGCTAATCAGTTGCTGATAGCATGCCCTCTGAACAACCAATGAGCCAGACAGACATCTATCACAGCAGCCAATTTTCCTTCTTTAAGCCCAGAGATTAAATACCATTAATAATGTAAAATGGGCAATTCAAAATCAGTAGTTAACTTTAAACAACTCAATTTGGCAGATGAAAGGAGGTGTAAAGGTAACAGTGTACTGCTCTAAAGGTATCAAAGGTCAAGATTCTCCGTAAAATCACTTTTTCTAAGATACATGGAGCTGAAAAATATACCTAAAACTGCACGAATATTCATGAAATACTTAGTCATTCAACAACTATTTTTGAGCACTTGTACAGGTACTGTTCAAAAGTGACAAAAATAAAGATTCTGGAAACAAGTCTGGTTTCGAATTCCAGCTTTTCCACTTACTAGGTATGCATCCTTCGGCAAAGTGCTTAATCTAGAGGATTAAATGAGAATGTATATAAAGCACTTGGCCCAGAGTATGGTGATAATAAGTGCTTAAAAAGTACCATACATTTATTACTTAAGAGTCAGCTTAAAGGGAACTTCAAGAGCAACGACTTCCACTCACATAGAGTATGAAACTAAATTCCATATAAATTTTAGTTAATAGGATTTTTAAAATATCTTAGAACTTAATCTCCTCAACAGCCGAGTTTATTTTTCTCATTCATTGTTACAGCCCTAACACATGGACAGTGTCTGGTACAAATATTTGGCAAATAAATGAATCAACAAAAATATAATGAAAGAAAATATACAAATATGGAAAAAATGTCTGGGTTGAGGGGGTGACAGATAACTTCATTTTTTGACCTTCATTATTTTTACTTTATAATAAAAGCTAAATAATTTTATTTAAAATCTGGAAAATTCAAGGCCAGGCACGTTGGCTCAAGCCTGCAATCCCAGCACTTTGGAAAGCCGAGGTGAGAGGATTGCCTGAGCCCAAGGGTTCAAGACCAACCTGGGCAACTTGGAAAGACCTCATCTTTATAATAAATCAAAAAATTAGCCAGATGTGATGGTGCGCGCCTAGGTGAAAGGATCGACTGAGCGCAGTAGGTGGAGGCTGTGGTGACCGTGAGCATGTCACTGCACTCCAGCCTGGGTGACAGTGAGACTTCAACTCAAAACAAAAAATTAGCCAGATGTGGTAGTGCATGTCTGTAGTTCCACTACTTGGAGGCTGAGGCAGAAGGATCGCCTGAGCCCAGCAGGTAGAGGCTGCAGCGCCATGAGCAAGCCACTGCACTCCAGCCTGGGTGACAGAGACTCGAACTTAAAACCTGGAAAGTTCAAAAACTATAAATAACATGAAAATAACGTGTATCCCATCAGCTAAATAACACCACTAATCATCATTAATAAGCATATATGCATAATTAAACAAATTTGGGATTGTACCTTATGTTTTTTAAATCTTGTTTTTGTTTCTATTTAATATTACATGTATTCAAGTTTTTCAAAACACTGTATTCTCATATAGCTACAGCAATATATGTATGCAACTTCTCCAAGTGTTATATGTTGTTTCCAATTTTTTTTGCTGCGTAAATAATGCTATGATGGCCATTATATAAATCACTATGAGCATCTCTCACTATTTTTTTAGGGTACATTTCTAGAAAGAGAACAGTATCTTTAGACTTCCTAGTGCATATGCTAAATACTGCTCTCATAATAAGTTACGTATTCATATACCCAAAGTAGTGCAGCACTGTAAGTGCTCCTAGAAGGCAGGGAAAGAGTAACTTTCTAAACTTAGAAGCAATATAAAGAAATCACATACAAAATAAGTGAAAGATTTATAGTTTTTCTTATCAATCTGTATAAGCTTTTCATAGAATGAGAACATAAGAATCATTACTATTCTGAACTTTAAGCTATTAAGTAGTTTAATATATTAACTCAACTATCCGTCAAAACCATTTTATGACATGGAGATTATTTCTCCCCTATTTCATTTATTCTGCTTCCTCATCTTTTACTTTCCCCAGATTAGGTTATAAACCTAGGCCATTCATATTTCAAATCCTATGCTCCTCTCACTATGATGAAGAAATAATACATCAAATAAATATAATTTTTAAAATAGTTAAAGACATGGCTAAAGTTAGTCAAGGTCATTCAACACGGACTATCTGCACTCAATTCATAAGCATTGCATGTGGAATATACTAAGAGTTAATAATGACCTGTTTAGGTAATGAGTGAATGCTAGGGGCCCTTTTTCTTAAAAAATTTAAGACTAAACAGCAGTGCCAAAAGCCTTCTTATAGTTAATATTACAGCTAGATTCATCTTAAGATGATTTCTTTCAAATCTTACAGTGAGTATAAGTGCAGTAGACAGTATAAATCCATGATATTTCTACATATATAAATAATTCTGAGTTGGGAAGAAACAAGTTTTTAAAGAAATCTTCTAAACATATGTAGAAATTTCACAGAGACAAAAGTATTTCTTTACTTATAGACTTTTTTCATCAAATTATACAAAACATAAGGAACATGCTTAGGTTCTTGGACTAGAGAAATTTTTTAAATGACTTAAAAGAAACTAACATAGAAAAAATAAAATCAGAAGAAAATCTATAGACTTTTATTGCAAAAACACCTCATTATTACAGAGTCTGACAAACCACAAGAAAACAACATCTGTCTCCATAGTATGCTAACTGTGTGCAGTGATTGAATAGAAACATAAATCATTTACTGGCCTCATCACTCAACAACTGTATTAAATTTCCAAGGAATCCAAAGTCCTGTAATATAGACAGTGTGCATATAGAACTATATAGTCATCATCTGTGAAATACAGACACAACCTAAGAAAGTAAGTCTAGGAGAAGCAGAAAAATAAAAATCAAAGAAAGACTCTCAAACAAAGCCACAAACCATCACAATGCCCTTTTCATTTCACATTCCAATGGCTATAACTGTTTTAAAAGTTTTGCATCATTTCCCTCCAATAATGAGTCAGCACCCAACAAATCTTAATGTGGAAACACCCTGAGAGAACAATACTTACAAAGTTTTTGAGATGCAAGTTGTATTGATTGACCCCATAGTTTTCTATCTTGATTTTTGAGGCTGTCATTGATGAAATGAACTGCAGGGATAGCTTTGTGCTGGGCATGTTTTAGTAGTTTTCCTGCCTTCATACGATCTAGCTCTTGCATAACAATCCAGGGAATTATTAACACAAGTCTATCAAAACCTAAAAAGTAAGAAGATTTCTTATAATTCAACAAAAATTTACTGAGTTACTAAATCAAATTGCTGTAGAAAAGAAAACTTTAAAGCATAATCTCTACATTCAAGAAATTCACAATAAAGGGAAACATTAATATATAAAAATGAAAATTAAAAAGAGGATACTGTGTCAAAAGAATGTTAAAAAATAAATAAAATAAATACTACTGGAGATCAAAAAGTACTTTCCATTTGATGCAAAATACCTATCAAGATGCTTTTTCCACTGCTTGAAACAGTTTTTGAACTCATCAATTTTGATGCCTTTTAGTGCTTCTGCCGTTTTTTGTTTCATCTCTTCCACATCAGTCAAATGTTTCCCTTTGAGGACTTTTTTCATTGGGGAACAAAAAAAAGTTGCTTGGGGCAAGAATAGTTGAATAGGGAGGGTAGGGCACAGGGATCATTTTGGTCAAAAACTGCTGAACACTCAGTATGATATGGGCAGGTGCATTGTCAAGGTGGAAGAACCAGTTACCTGTTTGCCACAACTCATAATATTTCTTTCAAAAATCATGATGCCCTTCGTAACATTTCCAGATAAAAACTTTCGTTGATCACTTGAATCGGAAGAACAAATTCTGAGTATGCTACAAGGGGTCCACCATCCAAAAGATAATTCTAGGGTTTTTTTTGATCCCTCTCGTATATGCTTACTAGCATATCCAAATGGAGATGTTTTCATTAGAAAAGAAAACCACAGCACTGTTAATACAAAATATCAACTCAAGAAAGAAAATCAGAATCTGTAATCATGTTTTATAAATACCTGGTATTTCTGTTGTCTTCAAAATTCTAACAAATTTGAGATGATTCATTAGAATATTTGTGTCAATAACAATTAGAAGTTTTTTGTCTGAAGTAGTATTTGCTAGAGAAAAGAGCAAAGTTAGGATTTCATGACACTTGATGAAAAACATACAATGACTAAAATTTTGATGCCATATAAGCATAGAAAATTCAATTAAATTTAAAACTCCGCTGGGTCTTGTAAACTTAACTGTGTCAGAGAATTACACAATTGGCTAGACTCTCAAACTAATATCTATCTAGCCATCTCACTGTTGGAAAGTAAGTTTCTTCCCAATCAACTAAGGGTCCCTCAGACAGGAAATGTAATCCTTGTGAGTGGGGATGGGGTAGGGAGTCATTTAGGTCAAAGTGGACAGAGAAGGTAAGGTACAAGGGAGCAGAGAAGAAATACACAGGAAGACTGGGGACCAAGAATGTTGGAGAACCAGCCAAGCAGAATGTTTTTGATAGCATTCTTAAGAGAAGGAAGTCCTTTAGACAATAAAAATAAAATTGCTTTTGTTTCAATTCTTGAAGGAAAGAATAGTAATCAGTGTTTAATTAATTACCCACCAGTAGAATATTGTAAATTGCTTACAGATGGATTTTAAATCATAAAGGTTTACCCTGGTAGTAACTATGTTTCTAAGTCCTGTTCTGCATCACTGGTAGTTGTATAGAAGCTAATTTTAATACACCTTGATTGAAATATAATTGAAGAGATAAATATGTATAAAAGAAAGAAAATATATGATACTAACACTGTCATTTCATAGGGCCATTTTGAGGATCAGATAAGTTAACACATAGCAAAACAAAAACGCAATGTGAATATAAGGTAGCATTACTAGTTTTAGATATAGAAATTCAAAAATAGGTTTTTTTATAATCTGTCTTTATCTTCTCCCAGTAGCAAAAAAAAAAAGATTAAAATTTTGCTATAGGGCCATTGCCTTGCTAGACTCTGGTTTGGCCATGTGCTCTTTGAGCTATGGCTGTTGTCATGCTTCCTGGTTCTGGCCCCCTTCTCCGCCCTGGGGAGGTGAATCTTCTCTCTCCCTTCTCTTTCTCTCTCTAATTTACCTTTAAATAAACTTTTCTTTTTTCACAAAAAAAAATAAGTAAAATAAAATTTTACTATATGAACAAGAAATCAATATATCAAGAAATCTGCATGATTTCTGATCAATGCTTTACATAGTTGAAATTATTCAAAGTTACAATTACGAGCAAGAATAAAAGATAACTTATAACTCAGATTACTGCCTCTTGACAAAGAGAAAATATATCTAACCACCTAATAATGTGAGATATATAAAACACATAAGACAAATATTAGATCTAATTCCTGAAGCTAAAAAAATTATTTCTTTATCATTTCAAATGAACACATTTTAATACTTTTCATCCAAGTATTATATAAAAAACAATGTTGGCACATTAATTCTTAGGAAAGCATAGGCGAACACAAACATTAACATATAGGGTATACCAGCAGAGGAATGTACATCATCTTCCACCAAGTCAATTTCCATACTCATTAGCTCTCCACAGGATGGAACCACAGGTAAATCCACACTTTTTCCCATACGTGCAGCATGAAGCTCTTCTACTATTTGCATCTAAATTATAGAAGACCCCAATGAAAAGTACTGTGTTACTTACTTTGCAGACTGATAAGAGAAGAAAGCAATTTACTTAGTAAAGATGAGATGGTTTGTGGAATGAAAAAATTGTATTAAAACATGAAGGCAGCATAGTAAAAGAGTATAGATTTATAAACATTCACATGGCTTTTAAAACAGTTCTCATTACCTCTATGACCTTTGGCAAGCAAATTATTCAGTAACTTTGAGTCTCAGTTTGTTTATCTACAAAATGGGAATGTTCAATATGTATTTCCTTTAGGATTTTTGTGAGGATTAAATGAAATAAGGTATGTGGAGCTCTTTGCAGAGCCCAGTACACAGACATCAAAATAAGTTCATTCTCATTCCAATTCTCACTTCAAAGTACTTTGGGGGCCAAAGTTTTTTTTATCTTGACAATGAATGTTCTTCTTGAGATTTCTAAGATAGTTTACAAACCATCATAAACTGAAGTCTAGATCTTAAGACACTTCTCACTTCAGGGAAATACTTCCCTGATGTATTTTGATGCAAATAAATGAAAATATAATCTAGCTATAGAACTGAGGCGAGAAATCTTTCTTTTATCAAGGAACACCGGCCCCCAAGACAAAAAAATACAACTGACTGTCACATGTAAAACCAAGTAATATAATTTAAAAGTCTTCTTTAAAAAGAAAAACACAATGGTCTATGAATCTAATCTTAATTTAGGACCAAAAACCACAAAATTCTATGAGGGTAATTAAGAATATTCTAGTTCGTAAATGAAACAATAGGTAAAAAGATAAAACATTCAAACACTTGCTTTCACTGAATAATATTTTTATCTTATTACTAATTTTAAAAATGAGGTAAAAACACATGAATGTCCTACTACATTTTGGCAACCCTAGGCATAAACATGCCAAAGTATGAAACATTAAAACAAAATTCAGATAACTTCTGCACCATAGATCCTATGCTCTTTGTTCAAAATATTAGAAACTAAAGTTAAAAGGTGATAGAGTAAATATAAATATTTTCCAAATAGTTTTGATGGGTTCATAAAAACTTACATATTTATTTAAGTAGAGATATCAATGTTATTTTCACGTTATCAAGGTTTTTACAGTCATTATAATTATTATTATTATTGAGTTGGGGGTCTCACTCTGTCACCCAGGCTGGAGTGCAGGGGCATGATCACAGCTCACTGCAGCCTCAAACTCCTGAGCTCAAGCAATCCTCTCACCTTAGCCTCCGGAATAGCTGGGACTACAGTCACACACCACTATACCCAGCTAATTTTTTTTTATTTTCTGTAGAGCTGAGGTCTTGCTATATTACCTAGGCTGGTCTCACACTCCTGGGCTCAAACAATCCTCCCACCTCAGTCTCCCAAAGTGCTGGGATTATAAGTCTGAGCCACCATGCCTGGTCAATAGTCATTGCTTTTTTATTAAAAGTATAAACTATTTGACTTAATTTCACTAAAAACAGTCAAAGTAAAAAGTGTATCAGTAACCTCTTGATCTGTATCTTGAATATTTTCAGATGACACTGAAGAACATGGGGCTTCAAAACGCTGAAATGAAAGTAATTTTATTAGTTAAGAATAAAGCAGAGTTTTTCAACTTTGACACTATTAACGTTAGGATCCAGATAATTCTTTGTTTGGGGGTTGTCCTATGCATTACAGGATATTTACCAGCATCCCTGACTTCTACCCACCAGATGTCAGTAATATTACATACCCACCCCAATCGTTAACAATCAAAAATATCTCTAGATATTGTCAAATGTCCTGTGAGAGGCAAAATTGCCTCCATACGAGAAACTGCCCCCAGAACAGAAAAGCCCCATTCTATCAAGTCATGAAAAGTGGTGGAAATTAGGACTTACTCATTTATACACACATTACCAAAACACTCATATTCTAAGAATAAAACTATATGCCACCCTAAGAAATAAAAAAGAACCATGGCAAAGGTAAACAAGCTGGCCTTCAGTGGTGAAAAGCTTTCACCCAGGAATATCTCAGCCATTTCTAAAAGTGGCATGATAAAACTACAGAGGACCCTAATAATTACAATAAGGCTAAGGGGGAAAAGCTGAAAAACGCAAAGTTACATTATACATGGTTAGAGAACCAGAGGTTTGTTTTTTGTTTTTGTTTTTTGTCTCCTAACAGAGATGGAAAAATCCATTAAATTCCAGCTTTCTACTGGTATTTTTGCTGAGTGGTTGAGACCTACCTGACCCTACATACAGGAGACAAGAAGTTCAGCAAAATAACAACTGAACCAAATCATCTTCTAAGAATTCTCCAAGGTAACTCAAACACACGCATATTTTACTGAACACTATTTATGGTATGAACTATAGATCCTCTCTGAACAAGTACATCATATGTAGATATGCTTTACTGGGTCAGATAGGATTAAGATGGCTGGCAAGAAACGGCTACAGTGTGATTCTCCCATGGAGTGAACAAAATAGTAAGAGTTCCTCAGAATTCAGATAGGGAGGAGACAAGCAGCACACACCACAACTCACCAGAGAAGCAATAATATACACAGAGCGCAAAAAACAAGAAAAATCAATCAGCCTGCGGGGGAACAAGGCAGACTTGCCTGTATCACTGCATAAACCATGAGCAACCTCCACACACAGCAGAAAAGGTGAATGAGGGGAATTCAGGAGTTCTGTGCTCCAGCCACAGATTCTGAAGGTCCCGAGCCTCGCAGGACTCCAGCTGCTCACAGGAAACTGTCTTACCCACAGGAAACTGCCTTACCCACAGCTGTGCCCTGCTGAAACTCAAGTGGAGTGGTCCAGGAAAAAAAAAGTCCTGAATGTTTTCAGAAACCACTTTCCAGGAACTCGAATCTTGTTACCAGTTGCTTTTTTTTTTTTTGGAAAGCAGGATTTATTAAGAGGAAAGAAAAGCTCCTACAGTGGGAGGGGACCCGAGGGGGTTGCCCTCTACCAGCTACTTTTAAGCCACCATGGGAGGAAACAGGAAGACCTGATGCCTCAGTGGCCTCAGTGGCAAATTACCATTACTCTGGGCTCCCATGAGAAGACCAAGGCCAGTGGCACTTTTATATTCTGAACACAAACTGCCTGAGGCTAAGGTGGGAGAGCTGGGTGGGACCCATTAACATAGAAACTTTTCACCTCCCATGAAAATTCTTTTGTGTAGAGTCTGTACAATATGGCAGAATTACCAATTGGCTAAGGACTCATTCCTAATCTCCACTGAGATAGCCAATAGTACACATAGGAAGGGAGCCTGAGCACTTCCTTCCCACTCTTGCACCTCCCTCTAAGGCTCAAAAAAAACAACTTGGGCAGTTCCCACAGCCTCCTCCATTGGCAAGGTCAGCTGGACACTTCCTTGGAACAACTTAGGCCAAGCAGAAGGCCCACGGCCACCATCGCAGCTGGCTCTCTTCAGCAACTGCCACCTCTTGGCTGGAGGTCAACAGGCACAGCTTATTACATCTGATATAATACCTCAGCTTTTGGGAAGGTCTGGTCTCATACTCCCGCTAACACCACTATTAAAGCCACCCTGGGCATTCAGGATGCCTTGAGCCTATACAGGTACCAAGCACAGCACCGTCACAGCTGGCAATTGAGAAACTCACCACACCAAGGCTATATATAACCCAGGGAATCCTACAGTGCCTATGTCAGCTCCCTGCCAACCTCAAATAAGAAGAAATAGTCTACCAAATGAGAAAGAACCAGAAAAATAATTCCAACAATATGAAAAAACAGAACTCTTCAATATCCCCAAAAGACCACACTAACTCTTCAGCAATGGACCCTAACCACTGTTAATGGTTAAATCTTTGAGACTCCAGAGGTAGAATTCAAAAGGTTAATTATAAACTTGCTTAATGATAATATGAATCAAGTTTAAACTCAGCATTGAGAAATTTAAAAACTATTCAGGACATGCATGCAAAATTCTCCAAAGAGACACTTCATAAAAGAAAAAGAAACAAGCTGAACTTTTGGAAATTAAAGACTCATTTAAGAAAGAAGAAAATGCTGTGGAAAGTTTTTAAGGTAGACTAGAACAATTAGAAGAAAGGGTCTCAGAACTTGAAGACAGGGCTATCAAATTAACCCAGTGAGACAACAATAAAGAAAAAAGAATCAAGAGAACAGAACAAAGTCTCCAAGAAATGTGGGATTATCTAAAACATCCAAACCTACAAATCATAGATGTTCCTGAGGAAGAAGAGAAAGCAACAGGCATGGAAAACCTACTGGAGGGAATATTGAGGAAAACTTCTCTGGCACTGCCAGAGATTGAAACATCTGGATACAATAAGCCCAAAGAACCCTTGGAAGATTCAATGCAAAAAGATAATCTCCAAGGAATAGCCATCAGGTTATGCAAAGTTAATATTTAGGAAAGAATTCTAAGAGCAGTGAGATAAAAAGCTTCAAGTAACTTACAAAGGTAAACCTATCAGATTAACAACAGACTTCTCAGCAGAAACCCTACAAGCCAGAAGGGATTGGAGCCCCATCTTCAATTGTCTCCAACAGAATGACAGTCAGCCTTGTATTTTGTATCCTACAAAACCAAATTTCATTCATGAAGGAAAAATAAAGTCTTTCTCAGATAAGCAAACACTGAGGGAATTTGTCACCACTAAAATGGCTCTACAAGAAATACTCAAAAGAGTTCTAAATATGGAAACAAAAGATCAAGACCAAGTGCAATGGCTCACACCTGTAATTCCAGCACTTGTGGAAGGCTGAAACAAAAGCAATACTTGAGGCCAGGAGTTCAAGACCAGCCAACGCAACACAGCAAGACCTCATCTCTACACAAAATCAAAAACTTTGCCAGGCATGGTGTTGTGTGCTGTACTCCAGCTCTCAGGAGGATGAGATTTAAGGTTTGCTTGAGCCCAGGAATGTCAAGGTTGCAGTGAGTTGGGAGTATGCCATTGCACTCCAGCCTGGGTGATGGAGCCAGACCCTGTCTTTTGTTTTTTAAAAAGAAACAAAAAGTTGAAATACACCAGTAAAAAAACACCGGAAATCATAAAACTCACAGGGCTTATAGAACATCAACACAATGAAGGAAAAAAAAGAGGAACCAGGTAATGACCAACATGATAGATGGAATCGTACCTTATGTATCACTATCATTATTAACATTGAATGTGAATGGTCTCAATATCCCACTTTAAAAATACTGACTGGCAGAATGGATAAAAAAAGCACAATTCAAGAGCTGCCTTCAAGAGACCCACTTAACACACAAAGACTCCAAGTAAAGGGGTGGAAAAAAACATTCCACACAAATAGAAACCAAAACCAAGAAGGATTAGCCTTCTCATAACAGATAAAAGACTTTAAATTAACAACAGTGAAAAAAGGCAAAGATTATTATTATATAATGATAAAGGGATCAATACAACAAGAAGATATAGCAATCTTAAATACATATGCACCTAACACCAGACCTCCAAGGCTTATAAGCAAATTCTACTAGATCTAAGAAATGAGACAGACAGCAATACACTAAGAGTGGGAGACTTCAACATTCTACTGACAGCAATAGATAGACAGATCAAGGCAGAAAGCCAAAAAGAAATACTTGAGTCAAACTGGACCTTAGAGCAAATGGACCTAACAGATATCTACAGAACACTTCACCCCAAAACTACAGAATATACATTTTTCTCATCAGTATGTGGAATATTCTCCAAGACAGACCATAGGAGAGACCACAAATCAAGTCTCAGTCAATTCAAAAAAGCTGAAATTGTATCAATTACCTTCTTAGGCCACAGTGGAATAAAACTAGAAATTAACTTCAAGAAGAACTCGCAAAATCAAATACATGGAAATTAAACAATATACTCCTGAATGATTTTTGAGTCAAAAATGACATCAAGATGGAAATTCTAAAATTCCTTGAATGACAACAAAGACACAGCTTATGAAAAACCTCTGGGACACAGTCGAGGCTGTGCTCAGAGTAAAATCTAAAGTGCTTAAGGCCTACATTAAAAAGGCTGAAAAATCATACTGACAACCTACTGCCACACCTCAAGGAACTAGAAGCACATGAACAAATCAAACCCAAGGCCAGCAGAAGAAAAGAAAGAAAAGTCAGAGCAGAGCTAAATGAAATTGAAACCAAACAAAACAAAGGTTCAATGAAAAAGAAAACTGTTTCTTTGAAAAGATAAGCAAAATCGACAAACCACTAGCTAGATTAATTAAGAAACAAAGATAGAAGATTCAAATTATCAAATTAGCTCAATCAGAAATGATAATAGAGACATTACAGCTGATTCAATGAAAATACAAAAGATTGTCCAAGATTATTATGAATACCTATATGCAAACAAACTAGTCAATCTAGAGCAGAGTTCCCCAAGCCCTGGGCCATAGTACCAGTTCATGGCCTGTTAGGAACCAGGTCGTACAGCAGGAGGTGAGCAGTGGACAAGAAACCAAAGCTTCAAATGTATTTACAGTCACTCTCTGTTGCTCGCATTACCACCTGATTTCTGCCTCCTGTCAGATCAGCAGCAGCATTAG